TTCCTCCCTCCTTTCCTCCTTCCTTCCTTCTTTCCTTCCTTCCTTCCTTCCTTCCCTCCTTCCTTCTATTCTTCCCTCTCTCCCTCCTTTCCTCCCTCCTTTCCTCCCTCCCTCCCTTCCTTCCTTCCTTCCCTCCCTCCCTCCTTCCCTCCCTCCTTCCCTCCCTCCCTCCTTCCTTCCCCCTCTCCCTCGCTTCCTTCCTTCCTTCCTTCCTTCCCTCCCTCCCTTCCCTCCCTCCCTTCCTCCCTCCCTCCCTCCTCCTCCCTTTCTTCCTTCCCCGCTTCCATCAAACCCAAGGTCTCATGCATGCTGCCAAGTACTCTGTCACTAGGCCATAGCCCCAGCCCTCTTTTAATTTTTCAAGTAGTCACACAGTTATAGCCACAATGAGTTTGTCAAGCAGCTTGGGTTATCTGTGGAGAACGATGCCTATTAGAAAGAGCAGAGCTGGGGGCTGGGAAGGTGGCTCAGTGGTAGAGCGCTTGCCTTACATGCCTGAGGCCCTGGGTTCGATTCCCAGCACCACATAAGCAAAAAGAAAAAAGCCGGAAGTGGCGCTGTGGCTCAAGTGGTAGAGCGCTAGCCTTGAGCTGAAGAGCTGAGGGACAGTGCCCAGGCCCAGAGTTCAGGCCCCACGACCAGACCCCCCCCCCCAAAAAAAAAGAAAGAGCAGAGCTGATGATGCCCATCTCTGTTCCCTTCTAGAGAAGCTTCTCTATGAACAGGCGATGGAAGTAGGTAAGTGTTTTGGACTGAGGTGAGGGAGACATTTTTCTTTTGTTGGTTTCTGTGTCCCCAGTACCCACAAATTTAAATTCTCAGCTAGGAAACTGTATCATCTACCGCCCTTGGTGTTGATGATGGTGTCTAAATCCATTGCTTCCAGCTTTCACTAGCTTACTCATCATACCTTGTCTTCTGGTAGATTCAGTGGCTTTTGTCTGTGAGCTCATTGCTTATTCTTATGGGATGTTGGGTAGTTCAAACATAGAGAAACTTTTGTTCACTCACTAAGTAATTGATAATTCTCTACTCAATGGGGATCCAATGGTGAGTGAAACCAGACATAGTCTTTGGTCTTCTGAAGCTTTCAGTCTAGCCAGGGATTATACAACCAAATAATTAAACAAATAAATGTTTTTAAGTGCCATAAAAGAAAGTGCTCAGTTCTTCAAGAGCAAGAGGAACCAACTGAGCTGAGGGCTGAGGAGGTGATGGTCACCTTAAAGAACTGGAAATCATGAGTGAGGGGAGAGGAGGATGGGAAACCATGCACAGCGGAAAGAACAACTTGACAGAAGCATGGCCAGGGAGAGCAATACTCAGAAAAGATGCACAAGTGAGGAGGAGATGTCCACACTAGGTCACAAGGGCCCTGGAGATCACACTAAGAATTCTGGCCCTTTTCCTAACAGTAGTAGTGATGAGTGGTAATAAGTCAATGGGAAGGGTGCTTTCATAACCTTCCTCTCACAGCAGTGCTGAGAATATACCAGAGGGAGTAAGGCAAATACGGGAGACATTTTGAGTTATCATTTTTTATCATCACAATGAGAGAAGATAAAGGACTAGATCAGGAATGTGCAGGTGAAGATGGACAAGTTCAAGAGCAGGTACAATCAGTAAGAATCAGGGACCCTCAAGGTAACAACAAACAGTCTTATTGTCTTCCCCCTCCTTTCTTTAATCTCTAGAAAATCTTCTTGAAGACCATGCAAAAGAAAAAGGTAAAGAGTGAGAAGTACAGAACAAGTAGTGTATTCTTTCTTCACTTAAATAAGTACTGAAGCTCTCCTAATATTACTGGAATGCAATTTCTAATATAAAGGGGATAGGGAGTTGGTGGGAGAGGGTAAGGATCAAAATCCTTAGTTCTGGCTGAGCACTGGCGATTCATGCATGGGAATCCTAGCTACTCAGAAGGCTGAGATCTGAGGGTCATGATTTGAAGCTACCTTGTGGAGATAAATCTGAGAGACTCTTATCTCCAATTAACTCCAATTGGAACTGTGGCTCAAGTGGTAGAGTAACAGCCTTGAGAAAAAAAAGGTAAGCAAGAGTGGGAAGCCCTAAGTTCAAGCCCCAGTTAACAGAACATTAAAAAAAAAAGCATAGCTCTGGACCATCACATGCTCCCTTCATTAGCCTTTCCACCAATCACATAGACAAGAAGTCTACATATTATTTAAAAGTATGACCATATGGTCATATAGAATGCGTGAGACTTCAAGAATTCATACAACAACAAAGAGAGATGGTGTTGTGTATGGAAAGGCTACAGTCTCTGGAGTCAGCACCACTTGACTCAGCTTGCTGATCATCTGCCTGCCACTTACTGGCCTTGAGTTAGTCACTATATACCCTGAACTTTGGTTTTTTCATCTGTAAAATGGGGAAGTTATTTTACCTGATTTTTTAGTGTATGTTACACACATACACATACATATACATATATATGTTGCATTACTGCTGTTGAATTCAGGGCCTTCCATTTGGCAGGCTGCTGTTCTACCACTTGAGCCATGCACCCATGGCCTTTTTTCCTTATTTTTTAAAATAGTGTTTCTCTCCAGGGTTGCCTGGATCCATGATCTTCCTATTTATTCCTTCCAGTTAGTTTAAATGAAAGTTATATACCATACTGCCCTGCTTTTTTATTTGAGATTGAGGGGTCTCATGAACTTTTTGCCCTGGCTTGCCTTGAACCTCAATCCTCCCAATCTCTGCTGCCCCAGTAGCTTGAATTATAGGAATGATCCACTGCACCTACCTAGAGAAAATATTTTGGAAAGATCTAACACAGGGCCTGAAGCTCATTTTCCTTACTGCCATTTTTCAATTTGATATGTACCAGGGACCACTGAAAATAAAAGTCAGACTTCCTTTTGAAGTCTAGATAGGAAAGACAAGTCACTGGCTCGATGAGTCCCAGTTCAAAGACATTAGGATTTCACCTCCTTCCTATTATATTTTTTTCCAAGCTAATGAAAATATGAGATGAGCAATGCAGACACTCTAGGCATTTTGCCCAAGAGCAAAATGTGGAGTAATGATGAGGGTCTCTGACTCAAGAGCTGGGTAGGCTTGGGTTTGAATCTTACCTCTGGGTCACTCACTAGCTGGATAACCTTGAGCAAGTGTCATGTCCCTCTGATCATCAGGCTGCCTCTCTATAAAGCAGAACAATCGTTCTATGTACCTCACATTCAGTATCTACTTGTTTAAGAACAGGACTCAGCTGTTAGTATTGCAAAAGGCAATCACAAACCATAAGGTCCTGGGAGAACTGCGACATAGTCAGACTCATTGCTCCATAGCCAAAGCCTAATCCACAGCCAGCCTTAGCCCAGGGCCTGATAGTGGACTCAGGTGTGTAACTTCGATTCGTTGGCCGGATCAATGCTAGGCAGCTCCCTGCAGAGAAGCTACAAGTACTTCCTTCAAAGGATATGACGCATATACATATGTTTCCAAATTTTCTGTGATATCCAGACTTGGAAAAATTATGACTTTTATTACAATGTCACCAAGTCAATATGACACTTTTAGCAGCTAGTTTTACACCTTAGATATAATAAAGAAAGGACAGCGAGGCATATACGCTTCTATGCTACAGTTATCAGCACATGTAAACAAATAGCAGAAATGAAACCAGACAGACCACAAAGAAGGCACAGGAAGAACCCAAGGCTGGGGCAGCCTGGATCACTGGGCGAGTGGAACTGGCACCATTGGTTTCCTGAGACTAAACTCTGTGACATAGGATTGGGTTAGGCACTGAAGGAAACATCTCCATCCTCTCAGTTATGGGACGGGGGAGTGGTACCTAGGGCCTCAGGGATAAAGGCAAGATCTGATCTCTCCTCTCTGTTTTGTTTTGTTTTTTTAGGAAGACTCCATAAAGCCCTCAGTAAGTTCTGCTCCTTATCTTTGGCACAAGTTTCTTTCTGCTGGCATCTCTGTTTGGGATAAGTGTTTTAGTGTCACCTCCCAGGGTAAAAGGGAGGGAGCAAGGGTAATTTAAGCTATGGGGTTTGGGGATTTCTTGGCTCTAGAAGGCTTTTTTTCAAGTTTGGTTCTGGTGGCTCATGCCTGTCAAACCTAGCTACTTAGGAGGTCTGAGAATCAGTTTGAAGCTAGCCCAGGCAGAAAAGTCTATAAGACTCTAACCAGCAAAAAGCTGAGAGTAGAGGTGTGATTCAAGTGGTAGAGTGCCATCCTTGTGTGGAAAAAGCCAAGCAAGAGTGTAAGACCCTGAGTTCAAGCCCCAATACCAACACACACACACACACACACACACACACACACACACACACACACACACAGAGGCCTCTTTTCTCAATTGTTTTCTTCTTCCTTTTCCTGTATGGCTGTTTTCTAGACTCTAAATGGGAATAGATGTATCTCATTAGTGAAACAATCCAATGTCCCTTTCATCATCCAAGCACAGCATTCTCTTAGGTGAGATCTAAGACAATGGGTCCCCACTAAACTGAATGGGCTGGAATGATGCTTTTCTATCATTCCATCTGTGAGAACCTCTACATTACTATTTTTGTAAAGTCTGAAGACACATGACACATCTATTTTACATGCAGAAAATACACACGACAGCAGTAATAGTTTTAAGTGAACTTGTATCTTAGTCTTTTCCTATAGAATTTATATATACATCGACACTGCCATTACCTATAGGTAAAGGTGTATTATTTTACCTGTAGGTAAGGCTTGGCTCACATAGGAATTTTCTTTTTAAAGTTTTTATTTTATTTTACTGTAAAGGTGATGTTCAGAGGGGTTATAGTTACATAAGTAAGGTAATGAGTACGTTTCTTGTTGAACAGTGTTATCCCCTCCCTCGTTTTCTCCCACTTTCCCTCCCCCTCCCTCCCCTCCCTTCTCACATAGGAATCTTTTGACCCTTGGCTATATCTCTGGGGACCTGTGGCCCTCAGCTGGGAGCTAGGTATAGCTACTGAAGGTCTGCTGTAGGAATGTGGGCTGCAGTGGACAGTAGTATTGAGGATGGGTAACTGACCCTCACTCTCATACATCCAACTATTTTTGTTTTTAGAGAAACTCCGGAGTGAACTAAGTAAGTTTCACATGTTTTTACCACTTTCATACCAAATTATCTCCTGCTGCCCAGTATTTCTCGTGGTAGCTCACCTCCCTGTCTCTTCCTCCACAGAGTTGAAAAGAGCTGCGGCTAACTCAGGTGAGATGCTCTCTCCTCACATTTGTCTTCTGCCTTCTCGAGTTCTTGATTTCTCCCTTGTCTTGAAAACCCCCTTTTATGTCTTTTAGGCTGGAGAAGAGCCCGGTTGCATTTTGGTAAGTTACATCAACCAAATCCATCCATAATTTAAATCCCCTGCTTCTTTAAATTCCACGCTTTAACTTTGCTCCATTTTCAAAGTGCACACTATACTCTTCTATTTTAAATTTTATCTATTTATTTATTTTTAGTTGCTTGTTTTTGTCAGTCATGGAGCCTGAACTCTGGGCCTGGGTACTGTTCCTCAGCTCTTCAGCGCAAGGCTAGCACTCTACCACGTGAGCCACAGTACCACTTTTGCTTTTTCTGCTTATGTGGTGCTGAGGAATCGAACCCAGGGCCTCATGCATGCAAGGCAAGCACTCCACCACGGAGCCACTTTCCCAGCCCTTATTTATTTATTTTTGAAACAAGGCCTTGCTAGGTAGCCCAAGCTGGCCTTGAACTCTCCATTTTCGTGTATGTGTGTGTGTGTGTGTGTGTGTGTGTGTGTGTGTGTGTATGTATGCATTCACACCAGCACTGAACCTTGAACTCAGGGCCTGGGTTCTGTCCCTTTTCTGTTTAGTCTAAATAGTATAGAGGCAAACAAGTCACAAAGAAGACAAATAACTAATAAATCATAAATACTTTTTAAAGTGTTAAGCAGTTAACCAACTTGATAAAAATTTAAAAATTCAGGCTGGGTGAGGTGACACACACCTACAATGTCAGTTCTAGAGAAGTTGAGACAAGAAGATAGAGAGTGCTAGACGGTGGTGCTGTGGCCTGTAATCCTACCTATTCAGGAGGCTGAGATCTGAGGATCACAATTTGAAGCTAGCCAGGGAAGGAAAGTCTGTGAGGTAGCTGCAGGTAGAGCACCAGCCTTGAGTAGAAAAAGCCAAAACAAAACAAAAAAAAACCCACAACAACCCTCAAATAACAAAAAATAAAAGACAGTAACAATATTTTCTAAGGATTAGTTAAGGCAGCTTCATAGGTAGATAAAAGAACATTTTCCCCTTTAATTTAGTAGCCTAGCAGGAGATCTATTCTTTGGTTCCAGGACACATGGAGGTGGGAAGGGCCATGAACTAAATGTGTCAATGATAGTAATTGCATACCTCAAGACCATTTTTCCTCCAAAGATCCCTTAAGGCTTATCCTTTCAAACCTCACTTCTGTTATTCTGCAGTGGCAGTGACCTTGGATCCAGAGACAGCACATCCCAAACTCATCCTGTCTGAGGACCGAAGATGTGTGAGGCTTGGTGATAAAAAGCGGCCCGTGCCTGACAACCCCCACAGATTTGACTTTGTTGTCAGTGTCCTGGGCTCTGAGTGCTTCACAGATGGCTGTCACTACTGGGAGGTGTATGTAGGAGAGAAAACCAAATGGATTCTTGGTGTATGTAGTGAGTCTGTGAGCCGGAAGGGGAAAGTCACTGCCTCACCTGCCAATGGACACTGGCTTTTGCGACAGAGTCGTGAGCTTCACTATGAAGCTCTGACTTCCCCACAGACCTCCTTCCGCCTGAAAGAGCCCCCAAAGTGTGTGGGGATTTTCCTGGACTATGAAGCAGGAATAATCTCCTTCTATAATGTGACTGACAAATCCCACATTTTTACGTTCACCCACAGTTTCTCTGGCTCCCTTCGCCCTTTCTTTGAGCCTTGTCTTCATGATGGAGGGAAAAACACAGCACCTTTAATTATTTGCTCGGAGTTACAGAAATCAGAGGAATCTATTGTCCCCAAGTCAGAAGGAAAAGGCTATGCTAATGGAGATGTGAAGGTGAACCCTTCCTTACTACCCACTCAGGGCCCTGAGCTTTTCCCTCTCAAGGATACCATTGTATCCTGGCACTCTGATCTTGGCCCAGCCCTTCAGGGGCTCAAGGCTCCATCTTTTTAGATATGTGCCTCATGACTTGCTTGCATGATTGTCCAGGTCAGGACTCTGGATTTCAGACCCCTGGGTCAACATCTGATTCTGAAATGTCTTTTCCTTGATCCAAATCCATACCCTTTCCTGGTTTCAATCAGTACTACTTTTCTCCCAGGGCTCTCAGTTTGGAACCCACCATTCTTCTATTGACTTGGTGTTTCTATTGCCCTGAAAAGAAGATTTCTGAAAAGCAACAACTAAATTGAACACATAGTTTAGGTTTAGATGATATTGACTGTGATTCAGCACAGACTTCAAAAGGGTTTTCTACTTGAAGGGAATGTTTCCAAGAACTTTCCACTGCCTCAGCCTGCTCAGTGGGTTTTCAGACCCTGACTTCTGAACTTCTGATTCTATCAAGGATAGTTCTCCCCCCCCCCCCCCCAACCTCTCTCCGTCTTCTTAACTCTCTTTTTGGTTCACACACAAATTCTTCCTTCTTTCTTCAGGAATGGGAGCAGAGAGCTAAAAACACACCATCCTTTTCAGGTTCTTGAATGCTATTTATGACATAGTTGAGAGACAGCCAGAGAATACAGTTTTTTAAAAAACAAATTTGAAACAAAGACATACAGAATGTGTATGTTTTCAAAAGCTATCTCACCTACTGATGATAAGCATCTACCTTAATCTTGAGCAGCTTTAGTAGTCCAGCTAGGGACCTGGGAGGCACAGCTTTGGCCTTGCACAGTCTTGCCTTTTGCTCTGGTCCTTTTAAAGAGTTTCCTGAGATGCACAGAGGTCCAGTGAGAAAAAGTGGCAGCTTTAACCACCCATGTAGATGCTTCCCCTACCCTGCCCCAAGACAGTTATATTGAAAGATTTGACTATTTGTGCAGCAAGCAACCTCTTAGATCAGAGTACTAACTTGCTAGAAGTTGGTAAACTTCTTATTTGAAAGATAAGAAGTTATGAAGACAAAGTAACCCATCTGATTTGGGGGTATGGATTGTAGAAAGAAGGCTAGGCACTTTGTCACACCCTATATGTGGTCAGGCCTAGCTGTGGAGATGCTGGTTATCAGTTTGCAGATTGGTACACAGTTCAAACCAACAGAAACCAGATCTTTCTGTCTGTCAGAAGTTCTTTCCATTAGTGCCTATATAACTAATCATGGCTATCCAGAGAAACAGAGCAAATCAAATAGTAATATATATATATATATATACACATATATATGTGTATATATATGTACACACATGTATATATGTATATATACATATATATATATACACGTGTGTGTGAATGAAGAGAGTAATTGATTGATTTAGTATGAAAAAGTGGCTCACATGATTATGGAAGTTGGCAGGCCTAAAACTTAATTCAAGTCTGGGGTAGGGGAAGCTGACATCTAGTCCAGATTTCTATTTTATATAAGGGGTGGGTCAGCTTTTTTGTTGTATTCAATTCTTGGAATGATTAGATGGGCCCTGTTCTCTTTAAGGAGCACATTATCTGTTTTACTCAGTCTATGGATTTAAATCTTAATCTCAATCCAAATACTCAGTATAATGTTTGACTAAATAACTGGGTACCTTGACCTAGTCAAGGTAATACATAAATTAACCACTACTGTGCCTTAATAGACTTCTTGGTTTGCCTTTGTACAGTTATTAAATAAAATTCTGGTATTCATTGTTTGGCATGATTGAGAAATTGTAGCAAAAGGCTTTAGGTTAAGAGAAGAATACATTATGAGATTGGTTCCTAAACAGCTTTCAGTCCTCTCAAGCAAGCCTTGCCCACAGTTCATAATAAACTTGGCTTTATTTTTTTTTTGGGGGGGGGGAGGTCTGGTCATGGGGCCTGAACTCTGGGCCTGGGCACTGTCCCTCAGCTCTTCGGCTCAAGGCTAGCGCTCTACCACTTGAGCCACAGCACCACTTCCGGTTTTTTTCTTTTTGCTTATGTGGTGCTGAGGAATCGACCACAGGGCCTCATGCATGCAAGGCAAGCGCTCTACCACTGAGCCACCTTCCCAGCCCCTTGGCTATATTCTTAAATTTTCCCACTAGTATTTAATTTTTATGAATTCATAAACTAGTATTATACATTATGCATTTATATTTCAGTCCTACATATTCAGTTTCAGACATATTTTCTTGAATATCTCAACGTTAAAACTAACATTGCTCACAATGGCTTTACCCATTAAATTTACTATAAACAAATCACAACAAAAACCTGACTTTTGTGGAGGCAGAACTCAATTAATCCTTATAACTCTTCTGCCAAGGATTTTATCTATTTTATAGAGGAAGAAAATGCTCCTCCAAATGGCCAGGCAGTAGAGCTAGCATTATAAACTTTGTCTTTGCAGCTCTCAAGGCAAGGCTTTTTATTCTTTGCGCTGTTCTTTGTATCAGATATAAGAAGCCTGTAGGTAACTTCACACTTAATTAGCCCTCATTATCTTCTAAAATAAAACCGGAGGCTAGCCCACTAGGTCAGTTAGTTATACTGTGGTGATAATAATGAAATAAAATCTGAAAAATAAATCCAGCACTAGAGACTTTACTATCTTGATCTGGATGGACGAGTGGCTGTTACCTTTAACTGAGTGTGCGGGAAGGGCCAGAATAATTGTCCTTTGGACAGGAGACATTTACCTTTGAGTTCTTTCCAAAGTCCACACTGATTTTAAATTGTAAGCCTTGACATGCCAGACTCTAACTTTACTGCATGTCTACAGGAGGGCCGTCAACAGCCAACTCAAAGTAAATCAGATCCGAGACCCGACAATCTTAGGAACAAAGCAAGGGTTCCAAACTCGGTTCTAAACTTTGCAACTGTTTTATGAGGCTGTAATCTTCCTCAGGACTACAATTCCCAGCACGCTATGCCCAAGGCTAAAGCTTATTGGCGGTTCCTCCTGGGCGTCTCGCGTAGTGGCATACACTAAAGCCAATAGAAAGAAAGGATAACTCCAAAGACCCAATCCTGAAGCCGGGGGGCGGGTCCTTTCTAGGTTCCGTCTCCGGCTCCTGTCCCCCGCCCACCGAGGCGGCGCTGTCTCTGGCGGAACGGCGGGAGCGAGGTGGGTCCCGGCTTGGGCCGAGGTCGTGGGGGGAGGCAGACATGACTTCGCGGGGCACTCAGAGCACGGCCCCTTTCTTCTCACCTAGGAGTTGGTGGCTGCTGCCTTCTTCCGCCGACCCACTGGGTAGCAGAGGGGTCCTGGGGTCCCTGACCTCTGTCCGGGTCCCCCGGCCCGCTGGGTCCGGGTGCTGGCGCCACACCGGACCCGACCCCGCCCTTTTCCTCATGGCCTTTGAAAACTTCAAGCTCCTGCCACCGATCTTGCCTTTGGGATCAGCCCCTCGTCCCCTTCCACTCTCCAGTCCCAAGCCCACCGGCGTCTCTGAGCCAAACTCCTGCCTTCCAGAACGCGGCACCCTTGGACTCCTGTTTAGCTTGTCCCGCCCTCGTCACACTCTCCAGCCTCTTGGACATCGGTCTTCGGAGTCCTCCGATTGCAGTCTTTGTCCCTTTCTTCCGGACCCGTTATCTGCCCCCCCCCCCCCCCCGCGTACAATTCCCTGTCGTAAGCACTTTGCCCCCCTGGTCTTTGCAAGTTTATCCCCACCCCCTAACCCGCTTCCCCTTTGCTTGGCCCCAGACCAGGAACTTGAACTCTGTAGACCACATTCCAACTTCGTTTCTTCTTTCCTAGGCCCTTGGCCTTCAAGATCTCTGTGGTCAGCTCCATCTTCTTGGCACGCTTTTCTTAGAGGCAAGATCCCTTCTACTCATGCCCTTAGTGCTGGTTGAGCCCTAGGGAGACTAGCCCCAATAGGCCATAGGTCAGGCTTTCTCCGCGGCCCTCTTCTTCCCCCCCACCCCCAATCTCTAAAATGTGATAGGGGCATGACTATTTTAAGCTATCTTTCCAATAGGTAATTGACGATTCTTCCCTTCGAGGCTGGGTCTTGCTCACTCACCCATCCTGGAAGTCCTACCACCTGATTGCTTGGGAGAGCTATGCCTATGGCACTTAACTGCTGTGCATCTGTTTTTCTTTCTGTCCTTCCTTCCCTCTTTTTCTCTTTCCAGTACTAGCTTAATGGTTAAAAACTCTGGCTTTGCCATCAAGGACATCAATACCCGTTTTGCCCCTTGGGCAAGTTACTTAATTTCTCTGAGCTTCAGTTTCTTCATTCTTAAAATAAGGATAGAAAAATGCATAGTTATAGAAATGAAATGATTATATATAGCACTTCATCCTGAGTGTAGCAGTTTGTAAGAACTTAACAAAACATTAACTTATTGGCTCCTGTATAATGTGCCAGGTGCTGTGGGGGGAGGAGAAAGAGGAAGAGGAGGTGGAGGAGGAGGTAAGGAGGAGCCTAGGCACTGTTCCTGTCCCCTAGAACTTAACCTGCCCTATATAATGGTTTCTGGAGTTTATATCTACTTCACTATACTCTATCATAAACTGTATGGGGGTTATGATCATAATCCTAAATCATTGTACTTGCCTGCTGACTCAGCATTCTACCCTGGGTAGAGCCCAACCGTGGTAAATTACAGGTTCTCAGCATGGCAGTTTTAGAAGTGAGTGGAAACCATGTAGCTCTGCGTATAAATACTACTAGAGGATGGGCATTTGAGCACCCACCCTTGTACTGCAGAAGATTACGTGATAACCAAAACCCTTTCCTCAAGTTGCTTACAAATGACTAGTGGAAATAGATAATTGCACAGCCCCATAAAGAGCAAGCACGTAATGGACAAAGTGGATAGCAATCAGATTGCTGGGAAATAGTGGCTTAGGATAGACCCACATAAGCAGGACATGGGTTCTGAAGACCAGTCTGGCCTTCCTCAATTTTGTTGACTCATAAATTATTTATTAAAAGTCTACTATAGATGCCTCCAACTACTTTAGTAATGAGGGCTACATTAGTGAATAAAAGTAAACAAAGTTCTCTATTCTCACGGAACTTACATTTAATAGGGAACTTACATTTAATGTTTATAATACACTCAGACATGATGCCAGACAGTGACATGTGCTAAAGAAAAGGAAAACTGGAGAGGGTGTATAATTTTTAAAAGAAAAATCAAGAAAAAGTGACTTTAAGTATCAAAGAATAAGTACTTTGTGATGTTTACTAGAATCTTGAAAATAAAGCACACCTATTATGTTTTTATACCGCTTATCCAAATTCCTCAAGAAATATGAATAGGGATTGATAAATGACAGTTCATTGACGTTAAAAACGTTTTTGTGCCAGGACTGGCACTTGAACTCAGCTTTTTCCTCTCTGGGTTTGCTTGCTCACAGCTGGTACTGGTAACCTTACCTTTTGAGCCATGCCTTTAGTCTGACATTTTGTTGGAGATGGAACCTCTTCAGCTTTTCTGCCCAGCTGGCTAAGAACTGGGATCCTCTATATACAGCTTCCTAAGTATCAAGGATTACAAGTTTGAGCCACTGGTGCCCAGTTTATTTTGGCCTTTTTTGAGACAGTGTCTCATGTTATGTAACCCTGGCTAGCCTGGAACTTGAGCTTCTCTGCTTCAGTTCCCTGTGTGCTGGGATTACAGGTGTTTGCCACACGCTATTATTTTACTCGGACACAGCCACACTTATTCCTTAATATGTTGTAATGCTGCTTTCATGATACAATGACAACAGATGAATAATTATTACATGGATCCTACGGTCCTAAATAGTTACTAAACATTTCTGACCCTTTACTGAAAAATTCCATACAGGTTGAGATTTTAACCTGCATTTCAAATTTTAGGAGGTTATACACAGCTTCGTGCTCATTAAAAAAATTCAAAACCTTTCATTTAAAGGATCTTTAAGTCTTTTTTTAAGGATCTTAATATAAAATTTACTCTGAAGATCTCATTTCCTATGCTTTTTAAATTTTTTAATGGTTTTTAGCTTCTTTTTGAATTTTTTTGTTTTTCTCAATGAGTCTTTTCACATCTCTGTTGTGAAGCCAGTCATCACGTTCAGCTTCCCATCTGAACTTGCATCAAAGACTTGCATTAGCTTCATTAACCATAGCATTTGTACCGAGATTATCTAACTGGGAATTCATAGATACAAGCAGGTTGGAGTCACTGAAGTTTCTTTCCTTCTTATTTCTTGTTCTGCTTCAAACAGTGCAACAAAGTCGATATCATCTGCCCTCTTTCTGGTCATTTTGGAGTTGATGTCAAGTTCTGGAAAACCCTCACTTTCATCATCTGCCATGTCCATGAATGTTCCTCCACCTCCATTGGTTTCATCAGATTCTTGATCATTCATGTTTTATCATCATCCAAACTCCTCAGCACTGCCCCCGAATCTTCCAAGTTTTTTTTTGTTGTTGTTGTTGTTGTTGTTAGTTGTGGGGCCTGAACTTTGGGCCTGGGCACTGTCCCGCAGCTCTTCAGCTCAAGGCTAGTGCTCTACCACTTGAGCCATAGTGCCATTTCTGGCTTTTTCTGTTTATATGGTGGTGAGGAATCAAACCCAGGGCCTCATGCATGCGAGGCAAGCACTCTACCACTGAGCCACCTTCCCAGCCCCTAAAGAATCTTTTTGATTCTTAGATTCTTTATAGAGCTAGGACATGTTTTCAATTGTGTGTGTGTGTGTGTGTGTGTGTGTGTGTGTGTGTGTGTGTGTGTTACTGAGGATTAAACCCACATCCCTAATTCTTTTGCTGGTCCTGGGGTTTGAACTCTGAGCTCCTTTGTGCTCAAGGCTAGCGCTAGTCTTGAGCCACAGCTCCGCTTTCGGTTTTCTGGTGGTTAATTGGAGATAAAAGTTTCACTGACTTTCCTGCCCAGGCTGGCCTCGGCCTGCAATCCTCAGATCCTAGCTTCCTGAGTAGTTAGGATTATAGTCATGAGCCACCAACACCCAGCCCTAATTCTTTTGTTTTTGAGATAGAGTCTCACTACCTTTTTGCCTAGGCTAGACTTGAACTCTCAGTTGATCCTCTTCTCTCTCTACCTCCTGAGTAGCTGGCATACACCACCATACTATGGCTTGTTTCCAGCAGTTGTAATAGTAGCATTATTTGGTGAATGACTAGTATGTGTTACACACTCTGTTGCATATATTATAGGCACTTTTTCTAAATCAGAGTCCTGTAATGCGGCTCAGAGAGATTAGATAATTTGTAGTCAAAAAGATCATCTATACCACCACTGTAAATGTATACAGGGTCTCTTCTTTTATCCTGGCTATGTGTGTAACTGTATGTGTGTGTGGTTGAATGTTTCAAATGTGACTATGGCTGTGTCATGTGAGAATGTCACTTGTGACTGCACGTGTGTCTGTGTAATGTTTGGGAGTGGTGGAAGTGGGCACTGGCCAATGAGAACCTGCAGGAGGTCCTGGAGGTCCAGGTACAACCCTAGATTATGAAAAGGTCTGAAGAGGGTTGGGGTGGCAGAGCAGTAAAAGACTATTGAGAGTTGGGCCTTGTAAACAACTAGGAGAGCCTCAAGAATGATAGAGTCCTATGTTCACTTGGTTTCTTTCTTTCTTCCTTCTTTTCTTTCTTTCTTTCTTTCTCTCTTTCTTGTTGGTTGTGGGGCCTGAACTCTGGGCCTGGGCGGCTCTTCAGCTGTAGACCAGCGCTCTACCACTTGAGCCTCAGCCCCACTTCCGGCTTTTTCTACTTATGTGGTGCTGAGGAATCGAACCCAGGTCTTCATACATGCAAGGCAAGCACTCTACCACTGAGCCACCTTCCTAGCACCAGTTCACTTGGAAATTGAGTAGATACCATTGGTTACTGATGGGCAAAGTTGGCATCTTCTTGGGTAGATCAAAATACATATGAAGTTTGTCACTTGAAACTAAGTAAGTAAATGCTTTCTAAGTATTGTAGCTAAGTGAGGTTATTCCTAATGGATGGTTCCCTGGGGAGCCTTCTGTCAGAAGGTCTAGCCTGACCCAAGCATTGTAATGGTGTTGAACATTTGTGTTCATTCCCAGGGTTCAGAAATGGGCAGTGAGAAGGAGCAGAGTCCAGAACCACACCTGCCTGAGGAAGGGGAAGAAGGTAAGCCTTGGAGAGTGGATGGCTCAGAGGGTTCTCGAATCCCACCTGGGGAGGAACATGGGCAGGAGAGCCTATTGAAGGGGGCACAAGGAACACATCCAAAAAAGCCATGGCAGAAAGTCACTGCCCCAGCTAGGGGACCTAAGGACCCCACTGCACATCCAAGGCCTGGAGAAGATGAGAAACCCTTTGTCTGTGCCCAGTGTGGCAAAACCTTCAACAATACCTCGAACCTGAGAACACACCAGCGGATCCACACTGGTGAGAAGCCATACAAGTGCTCTGAATGTGGCAAGAGCTTCTCCCGAAGCTCCAACCGCATCCGCCACGAGCGGATCCACCTGGAGGAGAAGCACTACAAATGTCCCGAATGCCAGGAGAGCTTTCGGCGGCGCTCGGACCTCACCACGCACCAGCAAGATCACCTGGGCAAGCGGCCTTACCGCTGCGACATCTGCGGCAAGAGCTTCAGCCAGAGTGCCACGCTGGCGGTGCACCACCGGACCCACCTGGAGCCGGCGCCCTACATCTGCTGCGAGTGCGGGAAGAGCTTCAGCAACAGCTCCAGCTTCGGGGTGCACCACCGCACGCACACGGGCGAGAGGCCTTACGAATGCACCGAGTGCGGGAGGACGTTCAGTGATATCTCCAACTTCGGGGCGCACCAGCGGACCCACAGAGGGGAGAAACCCTACCGCTGCACCCTGTGCGGGAAACACTTTTCCCGAAGCTCAAACCTCATCCGCCACCAGAAAACGCACATGGGTGAGCAGACGGGCAGGGATTCCAGCTGAATGGAGCACCATGTAGAGATGCGGAAGGACACGAAGTCCTGACCTTCGGCCAGGAAAAAGGCCTTTAGAATCAGCTGCGGCCACCTTGACTGCGCACCCTTCATCCGGCTTAGGAGAACGATTTCCTGTTGTCTCGGAAGCCACGATCTCCAGAAAGTCCTGAGGATGAGTTAAAATCCTTGCCTCCTCCCAGGAAAAAGTTAGAGGACACGCTCTTGACTTGCCTTCCTTGGGTGTGGAAGAGAAGATAGCTCAGAACGTGGAGCAGCAGTTCTCTGGCCTTTGAGAAAGTGCCTGTGCGATCTTGTCGCTGTCTGAAGGGCCTCCACATTGCCTGTGAGCTGCTCAGGACACCCTGTAGTGGCCTGCTTTCCCATGGTGTCCTGACCCAAGAGTGCTTCTAGAGCTCTAGCCTGGGAGGAGTGGCCCTCCTAAGGGAAGGGGCCTCCTTGGTCTGAGGAGAGATGTGGGGCCCTGCCTTAGGAATAAAAGGGAAGCCCTCAGGGAGCCATGATCCAGGGACTTCACACTCCCCCTTTTTCTGTTACCTGTTTTTCCCACCCCAACCTGCTTTGTTTCCCCAGAATGATTACCAGTAAAAAACAAAACAAAACAAAAACCCTTCCATGAAAAGGACTGTGTACTTACTTGGAGCGGTTGGGAGCTGGTTCCAGTGCAGCCATTCTGGAAGGAAGTTGAATTCCAACAGAGACAGGTGGTTGCTCTGCAAAGCAAAGGAAGGCAGGCCCAGTTTTCGGAGCTTTTGAGAAGAGGAGGGAAAGGGAAGGAAGTGGCATCGATTGAACATCTCTTTTTCAATCATAAACTGCTGTCTGTTATCAGAGCAGCCCCTGAGGGTATAAGCTGAGGAAAGGCCGCGTGGAAGGTGAAGTCCCAGCAGTGTGTTGTGGAACCAGTTTCAGCTTGGGCCTCCGTGGCTTCCAGCTGTTTTCACTGCATCCACCTTGTTGCCACCTAAAGGAGCCATTTAGGAGTTTAGGCAGGAAGTGGGAGCCAAGATGGAGTTTGAACTAAAGTGCCTTACACTTGGTGAGTGCTCTAGCACTTGAACCTTCTCCCTCATCTTCTCTTCCACTCTTTTCTTCTTTTTTTCTTTTTCTTTTGGGCCAGTCCTGGAGCTTGAACTCAGGGCCTAGACACTGTCCCTGAGCTTCTTTTGCTCAAGGCTAGCACTCTACCACTTGAGCCACAGCACCACTTTCAGCCTTTTCCATTTATGTGGTACTGGAATTGATCCCAGGGCTTCATGCATGCTAGGCAAGCACTCTACCACTAAGCCACTTTGTCAGCACAATTCTTTCTCCTTTCTTAGTACTGTTGAATACTGACAATGAAGACAGTTTGGTCCCTGAGTTCTCTAGTTTAGAAATAGACACATAAACCCAGAATTACAATTTAGAGTAATAGATGTCCTTACTGTTGTACTCCAGGTACTATAGTAGCCTGGGAGAGAGCCTTACTCTGGCCTGGACTGGCCAGTGAGGCCCAGAAGTAAGACATAGTCCTACCTGCAGGGAATTCAGGAAGAGAAACTCCTCTGACAAAGTCCTGGGGTAACAGGTGGGGAATGGACCTCTAGAGGTGAGGCTGAGAAGATGATTGGATTTGGTTTTGAGGAAGTAGTAGGCACTTAGTAGATAAAGTATGGAAGCTTATTTCAGATGGAAGAGAAGACTTAAGCGTTTGAGGAGCAATGGAATGTTGGATGTAGTAACCAAGTGTTTTATGTGAGGATAAGAGGAAGTTTCTAAGGTGCACTGGCCAGATCTCATAAAAGGGGTTAGACACCAAGTAAGAACTTCTGGACAATTGTAGACAATAGAATTTTGAAGTTGGAGAATGACAGGATTACATTTGTCTTTTAGTAAAATGCAGTCTAGTGTGGAGGACGAATGAAAGGGGAAATGTTGTATGTGTAAGCCAGGTGCCCGGCTTGGACTCTATGGACCCTCACAGAGCTCTGTGTAATTACCTCGGAGGGATTGCCAACCCACAGAATGGCAGTCTAAACCCTCCATATAATTGCTACAAATTACTGGAATTTATGGCCTCATGATTGCCTTGCAAGAGGTTCCTGTGAGGTATATAGAAGCTTTGCCTATTTTGAACCCATTATCTTGGTCAAAGAACTCAATGCTCTCATTAGCTTCCTCAAGAAATTGGTTTGTTTTTTGTTTTTGTTTTGTTTTATTTTGTTTTTTGGGTCCGGTTGTGGGGCCTGAACTCTGGGCCTGGGTGCTGTCCCTCAGCTCTTCAATTCAAGGCTAGCGCTCTACCACTTGAGCCACAGCACCACTTCCAGCTTTTTTCTTTTTTCTTATGTGGTGCTGAGGAATTGAACCCAGGGCCTCAGGCATGGAAGGCAAGCGCTCTACCACTGAGCCACCTTCCCAGCCCTCAAGAAATTGTTGAACCAAGCCTTTTGTACATTTAGAATCTCTTCCAGAGACTAAGGATCTTGGGGTTAATGGACGTATCATAACATGCAGCTTTCCCTCCTCTTTCATCCCATCTTTGCCCTTACAGTCTTGTGGCCTCCTGGATTGCCACAAGACTATGGTGCATCTTTCTGTAGATGGCATTTTGCCATCATCAAAGATCACTTTTTCTTACATGTCCAAAGTTGGCACATGTTTTACAGTTGACAATGTTAAATAAAATATACCATTATAAGAAAGAGATTAAGGAGGGTGGGCACTGGTGGCTCATGTCTGTAATTCTAGCTACTCAGGAGGCTGAGATCTGAGGATTGCAGTTCAAAGCCAGCCTTGGCAAGAAAATCTGTGAGAATCTTATCTCCAGTGAACTACTAGAAAACAAGCAGTGGTGCTATGGCTCAAATTGGTAGAGTACTAGCTTTGCACAAAAAAGCTCAGGGACAGCACCTAGCCTCCGAATTCAAGCCCACCATTAATCAAAAATAGAAGAAAGCAAGATGGTGGAATTGAACTAGGTGCTAGTAGTTCACACCTGTAATCCTAGCTATACAGGAGGCTGACATCTGAGGATCAAGATTCAAATCCAACCCTGGCAGCAAAGTCTGTGAGACTACCTTCAATTAACCATTAGGAAACTGGAAGTGGCACTGTGGCTCAAAGTGGTAGAACACTAGCCTTTAGTGAAAAAGCTTAGCAACAGTATCCATGCCCTAAGTTCAAGCCCCATGACCGACCAAAAAAAAAAAAGTGGGATTGGAAGCCCAGTTCACATTCTTCTTCAAAGATTGACTGAACAATATACAGACCAAACTACTTTTATGAGAACTCTCAAATTCTTTCAGAGTTAGGTTTCATTACCCCAGGAGAACACAAGCCAAGAATCACATGAAAATGGATAAGATGAGTCATTTTACTTCATGTAATTTGCTATTTCCTTAAACCAGCATAGCTCAGTTTAGGTCACAGATTTTCCCTTGAGGGAAAAAACAAACAAACAGTGAGTGACATCCATATTCAGTGTTCTGGCCTTTTAGAGCATTGCCCAAGGAACTGGTTCCTCTCTTGCTAACCTAGATTCTGCTAATAAACCTGGACTAGTGATTCTGCCTGGGCCAGGGCAAGGGTTGGAGTTACTTTCTGTATCACCCAGGGCCTGTAACACTCGACAGAGGCAAGCACACTCAGCATGAGTGAGAGCTCCTAACTGTGGCTCCTCCTCAGGAGGGAGGCAGAAATGTAGAGCAAATGCCCAGTATTCCTCCTTTATGGAAAGTTGCCTAAGAGACTGGAATTTGTTCTTTTTGGTTGGTTGGGGTTTTTTTGTTTGTTTTGTCAGTCATGGGGCCTGAATTCTGGGCCTGGGCACTGTCCCTGAGCTCTTCGGCTCAAGGCTAGCACTCTACCATTTGAGCCACAGTACCATTTACAGCCTTTTCTGCTTATGTGGTACTGAAGAATCAATCCCAGGGCCTCTTGCATGCAAGGCAAGCACTCTACCACCAAGCTAACTTCCCAGCCCGGTTGGTTGTTTTAAATACACTTTTGTTATTAAGGAGTTGTGTAGAGGGCTTGCCATTTCAGAAGTCAGATAACGAGTACATTTCTTTTTTTTGGACAGTGTCACCCCACTTCCTTCACTTTCACCCCATTTCCCCCTCCCATCCTGCTCACAATTTGCGTAGTTTATTTTCCACATAGTGTATACTGAATAGAATGATTGCATTTGTTCACCTTTCCTCCCTCCTTTTCTGCACCCCTAAAAAGGAAAAAAAAAAGCAAAAACACATACCACCACCACAACTAGCATGATATATGTTTTGTTTGTTTGGAGATGTTGGTACAGAGTCAGCATATTTCTAATGTCCAGGGTGCTCTGAACACAGAATAGGAGGCTTGCTAGGATAGTACCAGAAAATATGCAGTACTAAAGACAGACACCAGAGGGAGCAAGAGATTGTGAACTTCAGAAAAAAAGGGTTTTGTGGTTTTGGGGGGATGTGAGGTGTGGCTGGTAGGGGGGAGAAATCTCTAATTGGGAAATTACAGGCATAAACCCCAAAAAGTCATGTTCCTCCAAAAGGACTTAGAGACAACTCCCTCCTTAAGAGCCTAGTTGAGCTTATTATTGAAGATCTTCCCCAGTATTAAGCCAGTTTGTTAAAATCAGAATATTGACTGGGTGAGGGGGCACATTCCTTTAATTCTAGATATTCTGGAGGCAGGAGCATGATGAATTTGAGGTCCATTTGGGCAAAATTAGTGAGATCCTGTGTCAAAATACAGGGCTGGGAAGGTAGCTCAGTGGTAGAGTGCTTGCCTTGCATGCATGAGGCCCTGGGTTTGATTCCTCAGTACCACATAAGCAGAAAAAGCCAGAACTGGTGCTGTGGCTCAAGTGGTAGAGCGCTAGTCTTAAGCTGAAGAGCTGAAGGACAGCACCCAGGCCCAGCATTCAGGCCCCACAACTGACAAAAAATATATAAATAAAAATTTTAAAACTACAAAAACAAAGATGGCAAGAAAGAAAGAAAGGAAAAAGAAAGAAAATGAGAGAGAGAGAGAGAGAGAAAGGAAGGAAAGAAAATGTACAAATAAAATAGAAACTATAAAAAGTAACAAAAATTCTGAAATTATATTAATTAAATTGAAAAGTTCACTGGAGAGTTTCAACAGCTGACTTAACAAGCAAATGCACCAGCAAGCTTAAGAGGCTTAAATAGACAAAAGGAAAAAGAGAATGAAGAAAAGCAAAGAACTCAAGGGACCTATGGGACAACATCAAGTGGACTGGTTGGTATATGCATTATGGAACTTTTATAAGGAGAAAAGAAATAGAAAAGAACAGAGATATACTTGAAGAAATAAGGCCTCCAAACCTCTCAAACCTGAGGATGGAAATGAGTATCCAAATCTGAGAATCCTAGAGAACTCTAAGATGAACCAAAGTGGAATACACTAAGAAACATTACAATCAAAATGTCAACAAAGACCAAGAATCTAAAAAAGAATAAAAGCAAAACTAACATATAAGGGAGCTTCCATAAGATTATGAGAGATTTTCTCAGAAACTGTACAGATCACAAGAAAGTGTGATAATATATTCAAAATGCTGAAATGAAAAAAATCAGCCAAACAGGAATACTACCTCTGTCATGGCTGTCCTTCAAAAATAAAGGAGAAATCTGAAAGCGAAGGTATGGCTCAAGTGGTAGAATGCCTTTTTTCTTTTTTTTTGGTCAGTTCTGGGGCTTGAACTCAGGGCCTGGGTATTGTCCTTGAGCTTCTTTTGCTTAAGGCTAACACTCTACCATTTGAGCCACAGCACCACTTCTGGCTTTTTCTGTTTATGTGGTACTGAGGAATTCAACCCAGGACTTCTATCATGCTAGGCAAGCACTCCACCATTAAGCTGCCTTCCCAGCCCTGATAGAACGCCCTTTAAAACCAAGTAAGACTTCAAGGCCCTCAGTTCAAGCCTCAGTACCAGCAGACACACACACACCTTGATGAAAATTGAGGGAGTTTACCTCCACTAGATCTGACTTACAAAAAATACTAAAGAGGCTGGGCAACAATGGCTTATACCTGTAATCCCAGCTATCCAAAAAAAGAACAATAACAAAAAGCAATGGCATACAAAACAAAAAGATGTAATAGCATCCTAACAATAGAACAAAACAATGTAATGACATGGAGTGGGTGAGAGGGTAAAGGAGTAGAGATTTTCTAAATGATTGAAATTGTTGTCAGCTTAAATATTGATTATTATAACTTTACCTTATGCTAACCACAAAGAAAATTCCTATAGAAGATGCATGCACAGAAGAAAGGAGAAAAGCACCTACATGTTTCGGTATACAACAAAATCAATGAAACAGGAAGGTGGGAAGAAAAGAAAATGGACAAAATTACTGAGAGAAACAATAATAAGTACTTCCCTATCAGTAATGATTTTAAGTGTAAATGGGTTAATAATTGCTTATCACATGGAGAGACCCACGACTGGATAAAAATTATAACAAAACTAGAACCCAAAACCCCTGTGGAAGCCAGTGCCAGGGAAGGAAATCCTAAACTATAATAGATTAATTTTTGGAAAGTAGGTAGGGACAAATCTGACAGTTAAAACCTTTAGGGGAAGGGTTGGGGATGTGGCTCCGTGGTAGAGTGCTTGCTGGAAGTGGCGCTGTGGCTAAAGTGCTAGAATGTTAGCCTTAAGCAAACAAGCTCAGGGACAGTGCCCAGGCCCTGAGTTCAAGCCTCAGGACTGGCAACATAAACAAAACAAACAAATAAATAAGTAAATAAAAACTTTAGGAGGACTTTGTCATCTGGCCCATATCTGTGAGTTTAACCTGGGAACTCAGCCAGGTTCTCACAGTAAATATCAGGGGAGGAAATTCCTTTGCATTTTTAGTTGGGGGAAAGAAAAGGAACCAGTTTGAAGCATCAGAGCACTCTGTTTTGCTTAGCAATGTCTGCCCTTAGGAGAAACTAACCAAAGCCTAACTTGCTGGGGCTTTGCTGAGGTTCTGTCAGAGCCTAACTGATGTGGTGGAAGGGAAACACCTAACTCCAGTTACTTACACCTTTTGTATATGTGTACTATACTGTACGGGGCTTGTACTCCAATCCTGGAATTCTCACTTAGATTTTTCACTTGGCATTTTTTTTTTTTTTTTGCTCACAATTGGCACTCAACCACCTGAACCATGCTTCCAGTCCAGTGTTAGCCGGTTTAATTGAAATAAAGAGTCTCAAAGATTTGTCCGATTTCAGCCTCTGAGAATCTGAAGATTCTTAGGATCTCAACCTCCTGAGCAGCTAGGATTACAGGTGTGAGCCACCAGTGCCTGGATTTTTTTTCAGTTTTTTTTTAGACAGATTGCATTAGGTAACTCAAGCTCACCTGGAACTTGCTATATAGCCCAAGATGGCCTCAGACTTAGAATTCTCATGTCTCAACCTCTAAGTACTGGGATTATAGGCATGTAACACTAGGTCCAGCTCAGTTACTTGTATTTAGTGGTGAAAAACTAGAATTTCCCCCCTCTTTTGGGGAGGCTTGGGGGTGCCTATCCTGGGGCTTGACTCAGGGGCTAGGTACTGTCCCTGAGCTTTTGCTGAAAGCTAGCGCTCTTGAGCCACAGCTCCACTTCTGACATTTCTGGTAGTTTATTAGAGATAAGAGTCTTATGGACATTCTTGTCTGGGCTGACTTTGAACCATGATTCTCAGATCTCAGCCTCCTGAGTAGCTAGGATTACAAGGGTGAGCTGCTGGTGCCTTGCCCTAGAATTTTTCTTCTTGAGATCAGGAACTATGGAACTATGCAAGGATTTCCCCTTTTACCACCTCTTTTCAAAAGCATAGTGGAAGTCTTAGCTAATGTAGAAAATGAAATAAGAGATTTATTTACTAGGAAGGAAGAAGAAATGATTTTGTCTTCGTTTTTAGATGACATGATTGCCATTAGAAAATCTAAGAGAAGTGTCAAAAAACAGAAAGCATGCCATCACCATCACCAACAAAACTTTCCAGGAATTAACAATCACTTATAGCAAGGTGGCAGGATACAAGGTTAATATACAAAGTTAATCTGAATTCCAATGAATGAGTGAAATTTAAAATAAAAAACACAGCTGGGTGCCCGTGGCTCATACCTATAATCCTAGCTATTCAGGAGGCTAAGATCTGAGGATCATGGTTCAAAACCAGCCTAGACAGGAAAGTCCATGAAACTCTTATTTCCAATTAACTACCAGAAAACTGGAAGTGGCGCTGTGGTTCAAGTGGTAGAGTGCTCGCCTTGAGCTGACCCAGGCCCAGAGTTTAAGCCCCATGATCAACAAAGGATTTCTCCAAATGGAAATTCTTGTTATAAATATAATAATATATGTACAAGAGCTACATGAAAAAGCCACAAATAACAAATAAAAAGGAATTAGATAAATAGATATTCCAGGACAGGAAGGCCATTATTATCAAGATTTCAGTTCTTCCCAATTTGCAAAGGTAATCTTCAACAATTGATATTAAAACAATTGACTTTTACATGGCCAACAAAGAAACAAAAACAAACCCAGCCAACTTTTTACAAAAATTAACTTAAACCTAAAACAGAAACCTAAAGGTAAAACACAGATCCATAACACAGGATTACACAGATTACACAGGAGAATCGTTAAGTGACTGAGTCTGATGATGACTTTTTAGATACAATATCAAAGACATAATCCATCAAAGAAGCAATTGACAAGCTGGACTTCATTAACCTTAAAAACTTTGTGAAAAATAGCATCAAAAGAATGAGAAGACCACCCACATATTAGGAGAAAGTATTTGCAAAGGACTTTATCTGAAATGCGAAGAATTTTTTTATAAGAAGACTCATAAATAAGAAAATGAGCAACATGATTTAAAAATAGACAACAAGCCAGGTGATGTGGCATATGCCTGTAATTCCTGTCCTAGTGCAAGGCTACCCTGAAATACTGAGATACTTAAGCCAGCTGGAACTTTATAGTAAGTCCTTGGGGGGGGGGGGGGGAGGGGCGGGGAGGGAGAGTAGATTCCTCAGCACAAAGATAGATGGCAAGTAAACACAAAAAGAAGGTACTCCATATCCTGCCATTAGCAACTTAAAACAAGAATGTAATGCCAGCACATAATCTGGCTAAAATGGCTAAAATCCAAACAACTGACAACACCAAATGCTGACAAAGATATAGAACAAAGGAACTCTATTCATGGATGGTGGGAGTGCGAAATGATACAGCCACTTTGGAAGCCTGACAGTTTCATACAAAACTAAGCATGAATGCTAAAACTTTTAGCATAAAACCCAGAAACCTTTCTCCATGGTGTTTACCTAAAGCTGAATACTAATGTTTGCACAGAAACTTGCTTGGGACAGCCTTATTCATTATCACCCAAGCTTGAGCTAACCAAGATGTCCTTCAGTATGTAAATGGATAAATTGGTGTGCATCTAAAAAATAGAATATTAACCAATGTTTTTAAGAAAAAACATGCATCTAAAAAATGGAATATTATCCAATGTTTTTAAGGAAAACATACTTTTGAGGCATGAGAAGACATCCAGGAAACAATGCAAATTACAAAAAAACCTATATGATGTAGTTATAACTTATGTGACATAAGTCATTCAGTTATTATACATTCAAAAAATTATAGAAGCAGAAAAATGGCCAGAGGTTAAGGGTATAAGGATGGAACACCAAGTCTTTTTTTTCTTTCTTTCTTTTCCTGTTTTTGTTTTTGTTTTTGTGTGTGTGTGCCAGTACTGGGGTTTGAACTTAGGGCCTGGGCGCATCCCTAAGCTTTTTTACTCAAGGCTAGTGCTGTACCACTTGAACCACAGTTTCACTTCTGGTTTTCTGGTGGATAATTGGAGATAAGAGTTTCACAGATTGTCCTGCCCATACTAGCTTTGAATCAAGAATCTCAGATGTCAGCCTCCTGAGAAGCTAGGATTATAGGCGTGAGTGACTAGTGCCTAGCCAAAGAAAAGTTTTGGATGTTTTTTTTTTAAAGTGTGTGTGTG